GTGTGTGTGTGTGTGTGTGAGTGTGTGTGTGAGAGTGTGAGTGTGTGTGTGTGAGTGTGTGTGTGTGTGTGTGAGTGTGTGTGTGAGAGTGTGAGTGTGTGTGTGTGAGTGTGTGTGACAGTTCTCAAGTCATCACGTAGGCCACTGTATGAGACTTCATTTCTTCTGTGGAGCACAGTGACTGACACACATTGCTCCACAGAAGAAACACAGTCTTGCAGCTTTCTTCATTTCTCCTGGATTTTAACCCTTTAAAGCGGCTTCTGGACGCGTACTACATCAGGAGCTCAGTGTCTGATTCTGTGCTGCGCATACTGAGTGCCACAGCGAATGTTTGGAAACTCATCATGTTAGCTGCTGATAATGTCACGCTGACGTGTGTGTTTAGTGCACTTGTGTCTGTCTGTGTTCAGCAGTGGTAGTAGTTATTTGATACAGACTATAGTACGTACTATACTAGAATACCAAATGTCCAAAAACAAAGCCTGCTGTTAGCATAGGTACTTTCTGATGAATGTGATGCAGCTGTCAGATCTGAACTGAATGACTGGACATGCATACTAGAGACAGTATGCTAGTATGCATAAGTATAGGGTGAATGAACAGGTGCTTAGTAGATCTTTTCACCTGTGTTCATCAGATCAGTTGATGAGTTTTTTACTCGTATTCAGTTTTCAGCTTAATTGCTTTGTCTGTACCAGCATTCTGTTTTCTACATGCATGTTGTATATGAGCCATTCATCCATGCATGTTTCTTTGTTTAACCATTTTGTGACCTGATTTTTTTATGCGATCCACAGCAGACTCGCATTCAGAGCAGGCTTCAGTTGTGAGCCACGCCCACATCTCAACATCCAATCAGCTACTAAAGCATAGAACCAAGTCCCGCCCTACAGTTTTTCTTTTCAGTAACTGTTACAGCATGGAAGAAAAGATTTGGCTTTAATCTTAATATGACTGCAAACTCATTAGGCTGAAATGAATGAGATTTATATATATATATATATTTTTTTTTTAAGATTTATTTTTGGCATTTTTTGCCTTGATTGATAGGAAAGTGTAGAGTAGACAGGAAGTGAAGCGGGAGAGAGATAGGGGGCGGGATCAGGAAAGGTCCTCGAGCTGGGATTCGAACTCGGGATGCCTTTAACACAACGGCACTTTATGCTTTACGAAACTTTTTTTTGTTATTGTCAAACTTTTTATTATTTGAGCTGTAAAGTTGTTTAAATTGCAGTTTTTTTTTTTATTTTTTTTTTACCGTTTATGATGTTCAATGTATAAGGCATGAAATCAGTGTCAAAAAGTCTGTGTGAAAAAAAATCTATATTCAGATAACAGACAATACATTGACAGTTTGCTGTAGAGACTGATGGTGTTTGATAACATAAAAAAACAAAAAACATGTTCTATTCTAACATCAGATTAGAATCTTCCAAAACTATTCCAGCTGCTGATTCAAATACATGTTTAGAAGAAAATTCTCCATCCTCGTAGTTTAAAGTTCAAAGATGACGATCCATTTGTGAGCATTTAGGTTGAAGTATTTTTGGTGCTAATAATAGTGATGCTGCTGCTAACGATAACGCTCACAGGACACAGCAGGTTCATGCAGATTTACTGTGCTTTAATACACACACCGTCTGAACAGAGATGATGCTGCCGATTCATTTACTCTTTCATCAATCAGCTGTTCTGATGGGAGTGTGTGTGTGTGCGCGCGTGTGTGTGTGTGTGCGTGTGCGTGTGTGTGTGCGTGTGCGTGTGACAAATGAGGACATAAATTTGTATAATGACAAAGGTATGACATAGGTATTACAAGGAGAAGGTGACTTTTCAGGACATTACCCCATGTCCCCACTTTTCAAAACGCTTATAAATCACCCAGAATGGTAGTGGTTTATCTGGCCTTGGCTGAGGCTCCACTGTTCTGCGTTTGTAACCCTCAATACCGGATCCAGCCAGAGTGTGTGTGTGTGTGTGAGTGTTACTTAAGGGACAAAGTTTGTGGATGTTTGAAAGTCAAATCCATCTTGATCTGTACATGTATTTCATTGTAAACATGCAGTGGTTGGTTTGTGTTTGACTCTGGTCTCAGTAGCTGTCAGTGTGAAGCCACTCTGTGTGTGTGTGTGTGTGTGTGTGTGTGTGTGTGTGTTTTGTCATCAGATGATTGACAGGTGTGTGTGTGTGTGACTGACGTCTAGTTTGTGTGGATCTGAACGGCTCAGACAGGAAGTAGCGCAGCACAGGGACGAGCCGAGCTGTCAGTGTGCATTAACCGTTCTTCCTGGAGGGAAGTGACATCATCATCATCATTCCCAGCAGCCCCTGTGGCTCACACGTGTGTGTGTTTGCTGTAGTTTCGTGCGCTGCTGCTGTTTGTGTCAGCTTCTGTTTGCTTCATGAGTATCATTTTGGTATAATACATTACCCCGAGAGTATCTTTTACTATTACTGTGTAATACGTTTATATTTTGCTGATTTATTATCAGTGCTGGAAACTGTTGTGCTCCATAATAGTTTATTTAATATTTGTGTCAGAGCGCTGGAGTTGGTCAGAAATAGATCGGGCATCAGTTTACTGTCATGGGTTTGTCGCGTCGCGCCGCATCCACAGCAGAACATCAGTGGGTTCTATTTGCTTTTGTCTCTCATCGTGCCGCTTGTGTCTGCTGTAGACACCTTGTTTTGGTATTTGTGAATCTTAAGTATATTCATAATCTGCTTTACGTTTACCTGGCGCTGGAAGTCCTTTCTCAAGCAAAGTTATCTGCTGACTGTACACGATCCCTCAGTTTGGGAACCACTGGAGCAGGAGATTTGTGCTCTATTAATTTGGTCTGTTACCATGCTCTGTGTTTGATTACTAATGCCTGTGTAGTACGGAGTTGCACACAGAGGACAAAAACGTTCAGCCTCGACTCTTTATCGTCATTTGTGTTAAAATTTGCAAAGCGTACCAAATTGAACAAAACAATATAAATGCAAAATTTGAATTCATGAATATATAATGGTATCCACGGTATAACAAAATCCATATCATGGAACAACATAATACCAGTAGTCACTTTCATACCGGTATAGCGCCCATCCCTAAAAATAAGCAGACCATGACCTGTCAAGCTCCATAAAGAGTTGTTACAGTGAGGGAAACATTTTCAGTAAATATCTGACTGGTCTACTTTCACCGTATGGAGAAGAGCAGCTTGTGCATTCTGCAAAATATCTCTTTTTGTGTGCCAACCAAAGATTAGGTTTTATGGGTGAACCATTCCTTTAACATAACTATTCCACATTTGCATATTTTGGATCAGCTCACAAATGTGACCCTGGACCACAAAACCAGTCATATGGGTAAATTTTTCGAAATTGAGATTTATACATCATCTGAAAGTTGAATAAATAAGCTTTCCATTGATGTGTGGT